GCGATGACCCGGGGCCAGGCCTAGTGCCCTCGGCCACCCTCGTGTCGCTGTCCTCCGTGTCCGACTGCAACTCCACCCGTTCGCTGCTGCGCTCCGACAGCGATGAGGCCACGCCAGCTGGGCCCTCCCCACCTCCCTCCCCTCCTGCGCCCACCCCCTCCCTCCACACCAACCCCCTGGTGGACCTGGAGCTGGAGAGCTTCAAGAAGAATCCCCGCCAGTCACTGACGCCCACCCACGTCACCGCTGCGCGTGCCGTCAGCCGTGGGCACCGCCGGACGCCATCAGACGGGGCCCTAGGGCAGCGGGGTCCCCCGGAGGCTGCAGGCCCTGGTGAGTGAAGTGACCCCCACCCAACTCCACTGTCCACACCGACCCAGCTGGTGCTGGGTGGCCCCTCAGTGGCTAGCAAGAGGAAGGGAGGGTCCCTGGGTCCCCATAACCCTCACTCCTGTGGGTCCGCATGAAGGAGGCGCACAGTGACAAAAGATGGCTGGGTGACCGGAACAAGGGCCTGGGAGCCCCCCTGTGGGTCAGAGGAGAACTACAGGCTCCCGTGGCTCGTTTCTCTGCTGTGGCCACGCCTTTCTTGGGAGGCACTCCTTGCACCTCCTCCAGTCTCAGCAGCTGAGGGTGCTCACCACGACACCGCCCCCTCCATCATCAGGGTTGCTACCACGCAGCACCCCTGACGCTCGGTCCGTGACCCGCTTTTCACACCCATCAACAGCCACACGGACAGTAAAGAGGGCCTGCTAGTGTGGCCTGGTGGGTAACGAACGTGTGGGGCACTAGAGGCCGGCTGCTCCTGTGAAGACTGCGAGTCTCGGGAACCCTGCCCAGGGCTGCCATGAGGAGCAATGGCCCTGGAGGCAGTGGGGTCGGTGGCATAGTGGTTACGCCTCAGGCTGCTAACCCCAAGATCAGCGGTTCAAAACCACCAACTACTCCAAGGGAGAAAGACATACAGCATTCCGGTCTTGGAAACCCGCCGGGGTGGTTTTACCCTGTCCTGTAGGGTCACTACGAGTCGGCACCCGCTTAATGGCAGTGAGTTTAGTTTGGGTTTGTAGCAGGGTACTGTTATGGGGTTGATATGCCATATGTGCCATGACTAGGGATCTTGAGTGTATAGACCGAAGGGTGCTTATGTCATTGTGGACCGGTGGCAGGTATAGGTGGGAACGGCCGAGCTTCAGGCCTGAGCAAGGCCTGAAGGACTTGACCAGAAAGGCTCCCCCTAGGTCATACTTGGCTGTCACTGTGCTGGAAGGCAGGACCTTTCCAGAGACACCCCCAAGCCTGTTCTGCGCTCATCTCTGCTTCTCTCCCCCCAGGCCCCCGAGAGGCCCTGGAGTTCCCCCGTCTGCCGGACCCCCAGGCCTTGTTCCCAGCCCGCCGGCGGCCCCCTGAGTTCCCTGGCCGCCCCACCACTCTGACCTTTGCCCCACGCCCCCGGCCAGCTGCCAACCGACCCCGCCTGGATGCCTGGAAACTGGTCTCCTTTGGCCGGACGCTCAGCATCTCGCCTCCCAGCAGGCCAGACACCCCGGAGAGCCCTGGACCACCCAGGGTGCAGCCCACGCTGCTGGACATGGACATGGAGGGGCAGAACCAGGATAGCACCGTGCCCCTGTGCGGCGCCCGCTGAGCCGCCCGGCAGCCACGAATGTAGCGCCTCAGGCCCACCCCAGCTACAGGGCAGGGAGGCTCTGGGCTGGACACTTGCTCTATTTATTGGGGAATGGGGGGACACTTAATTTATTTCTTTGTATCTGCCTTGGGGGTCAGGGGGTGAGCAGGGACACTCAGGGACAGGGCATCATGGCAATTTGGCACAAAACGCAGCATTAAAGGTGACCCCTGCCTCCTACTGCCCTTGGCTGTGTGTGTCCCCAGTCCAGGGCCTTGACACCGAGCCATTCCCAGTACCCACCCTCTGCTTCCTGAGGCTCCTTCCAGTGACCCAGCCCCCTCCAAGAACACCACGTGGCAAGGTTGTGGTCACCAGTGACAAGTGCTTTACCAAGGAACAGTGGGGGGGAGGGTGCAGTTACATAGTGAGGGGGGAGGGGCTGCTCCCCTGGGGTGACCTCAGCCAATCACACCCGAGCCCGGCCCCCGCTGTCCTCTCGCTGGAGGCCACACCGGTTCATCTTCAGCTGTGTCAGCTGGATGTAGTGGAGAACGTTGGTGTCTGCGGGGGAGAGCAGAGTGGAATCAGGTGATGGGGGGGAGGGGGCGGCGCCTGCCCCACCTCTGCTCTCATCCCGTTGTCCCAGCCTTCAGTGGCTTCCTAGGGGTTTACCCCCAACCTTGGCCCTCTGCCCTTTTCCCTTTGTCGCCTTACACCTAGCCTGGCCCCGCTGGGGTGACTGGAACCCTGGCCCCCATGCCCCAGGCTCTGTGGACGCAGCCAGATGGCCTGCCCCTCCATGCCTTTGCCCTTGCTCTGCCCTCCCTAGGGAGGCCACCTCTAGCCCCTGTCACTGTGCCCATGCAGTCCCAGCAATCCCCGTTAGAGTGGCTTACGCTCACCCTCTGAACCGGAAAACCAACCCTGGCTTTTTGTGCCTACAGACACAGAATAGGGTCCAGCTGCTTGTGCACGCACCCACTGCCTGGAGGGCTCCCAGAGGGCAGCCCCGGGCTGCTGCCACCCCGCCCCCCCACACCTGCCTTTGCCTGCTAGAGGACTGCCACCCACCAGAGGTAGGCTAGTAGGAGTGAGTGAGCTGGCATATGTGCCCATCGATCAGTGAGGGGAGCACGTCAGGTGACGACGGGCCAGCAGGTAGGTGAGGACTGGGGGTGGTGGCTGGGTCAGGGCAGGAGCATGTTGGGGAGGGGCTGCGGAGGGATGGATGGGTGAGTGGTGTGAGGAGAGAGGAGTGTAGGGTGCAGGGGGGAAGCTGGTGGTTGGCAGGGTACTTCCTGGAAGCAGTTCTGTATGGGAGGCCTCTGTACCCTGCCCTGGCCCCTCAGTAAGCCCTTTATTCTTAAGTACCTGCTATCAGGCAGCTGCTATTAAGATTATTCTTTCAGCCCTCACCTGTGCACTAAGGTCCTATCATCACCTGTGGTGGGGGAGCCTCCTCTGCGTGGGCTCTCTTCCAGCCGCCATCCCTGCTCTCTCTCCCACCCCCTCACCTGTGGGCTCCCGGCTGCGGGCCTCCTGCAGGTAGCGCAGTGCGCGGGGGTAATCACCCAGGTGGTAGAAGGCGATGCCAGCGCGGTAGGTGGCCTTGAAGTTGCCCTGCTGCTTCTCCAGCACCTTGAGGCAGTATTCGCGCACGCGCTCATAGTTCACCAGTTCCGACTGCAGCAGGCAGGCTGCGGGGACACCGGGTGGGACATTCAGAGGCAATCGGCATCCCCAGACTCGGCCTGCCCTCAGGGAGCCTGGCTCCCAGCTTGCACGGTCACCCCACCCTTACCCAGAACTGCCCCAGGGATTGCTCAGGCCAGCAGGGGCGTCAATCTGCAGCCTAATCGGAGTCGAATCGATCCATCTGCGCCGCCGCTAGAGGGCGCCAGAGAGACGGCCCAGAGCGCTTGGGGCCTCGCTGGGCGGTTTCGGTGACCTCGGGGGTGCAGAGCCGGGGAGGGGCAGGGGCCCCTGAGTGGCCATGCAGGTGGGCTTTTTTCTCACCTCAGAGGATGAGGACCCTGTAGACTCAGACCCAAGCTCATCTGCTGCCCCCAGCCCCCTCCCTTAGGAGGCTCCCGTGGTCCCTGCCTCCCGAGCGCCCTCCCAGGTCCAGTCCTGGTCCCTGGGCACCCCCAGCCCCCTCGCGCCCCACGACGACCCCGTACCCGTGAGAGAGTCATAACACTCCACCTCCGTGCTCTCCACCAGGCGCCGCTGCTCCTCGCTGAGGCGGGCCGGGCCCGGGCTGGTGGCGGGCCCGGGGGCGGGGGCCGGCAGGCCGCCAGGACGGGCCCCCTGCGCCGCCTTCAGCTGCAGCAGCGCCCGGTGGTACTTGCCGATGGCTTCCCGGAACTTCTTCTCGCGGTAACAGCGCTGGCCCTCCGCCTTGAACGCCACGGCGGCCCGCAGACTGCTGTCGAGCGCCGCGCCCACGCCCCCCGACGGCTCCGGGGCAGCGCCCAGCCGGGCCGAGCCATGGCGAGGGCCCGGGCCCGGCGGCGAGAGGGCGGGAGGGGGGCGCGGCGGAGGCTCCGGGGCAGCGCTGAGCATCAGCACCGGGGACAGCGCGCCGCGCTGCATTGTGGGAAACTCCTGCGGCCGCCGCAGCTACTGCATCGCCCCTCGCGGGGCCCTGCAGCTACTGCATCGCCCCTCGCGGGGCCATGCAGCTACTGCATCGCCCCTCGCGGGGCCGGTCCCCACCCTTTCTCCGCCCCCGCACCTCCAGCGGCGGAGTCCGCCTGCCCCCTAGGGGTCTGGAGAAACCCCTCAAGACGCCCCCGCGCTCACCGTCCGATCGGTCCGGGTCATGTTCTGAGATGGCCTCACCCTCGTCCCCCCCACCCTCCTGCCCGCTCGCCTCCCCCATGCCCCAAACCCGAGGCTTTCTAGAAAGAAAGGACAAGTCTGGGGGAGCGGGCAGGGAGATAAGATCCTTGTGGGAAGCTGGTGGCAGCCCACTAACCATTTGGCAAGCTGGATGAGAACACAGAATAGGGAATTCGAGTCCCTGTTTATTCTCTCACGAGTTGTCTTGGACAGACCACTCCACGTTCGTTGCCTGCAAGGTTGCATCATCCGCCGCGTCTGGAGCACGGCACAAGAATACTCTCTTGGGAGGGCACTCGTTTATTGATTCAAGAAGTATTCTGGGATGGCTTTTCTGTGCGACTGTGTCCCCAGGCCAGTCCGCGGTGACATCCCAGAGTAGTAAGCGGAGGCACAAGCAGAGGGAACCAGCAGGAAGAGGCTCAGGGTGGGGAGGGGAAGGACACCAGGAACTGCAGCCCAGGGGCTGGCACGAGCCCTGAGCCGAGGTAGGGAGGGAAGGCTGCTTGGCCGAGGGGTGAATTCGTAACAGCGAAAGCAGCTCTTTCCCCCAGCAAACTCGCTGTCTGGACAAGCCACCAGTCAAGGTGCAGTGCACATGAATAAAAAAGAGGACACGTGGGCGGCGTTGGCGAGAAAATCTGAAAGGGCATGAGTGGTCATTGCACTCCAAGCCACCTTAGATGCCTTCTTTGCTGTGGGGCCTTGGCCAGCCTCCATCTTATCCTGCCCCTTGGCTTCCTCAGGTGGCTAACAAGCTAGGCTGACCATTGAGCCTATGCAGATAAAGCACTTCGCAGCGAGGCTGGCAGAGGCGTGGTTCCCTCACAGTAGCTGGCGTTTGCAATCTTCCATTTGGTGGTGAGATGCTTGATCATCGGCTCCCGGCTGGGAGTCCGCACTCACACCTAACAGCTAATGTGATCAGATGACGCCAGGAAGTGCCACCCCAATAGGGTGGTTCCACCAATGAGGCTAGAGATCGTAGGGAGGGCCCCATCCGACAGGTCCAACCCTGAACTCAGCACCCTCCATCCAAGGAGAGGCAGCATCTCCCCTTCCTCTCCCTTTTGCGCTTTGCTGTGAATGTGTTTGCACCACCCTTGGGCCCGCTAACTTTGAACACCTGAGACAGAAGCCCCATCTACCGCTCCAAATCCAGGCTCATTAAGTACACCTCGGTGTGGTCACCTTATATCCCTCAGGTGCTTTATTTTTTCAGTGCAAATCTCGACCCACTTGTGTAGGCTGTTAACGTGGCAACTGTTTCATTACCTGTATAACCTCCCGTTTTCAACAATGTTTTATTTGGAAATTGATAGCCAGCGACTCAACAATTTTGTTCGGTGCCCTTATTAAATGGCAAAGGGCTAAAAGCGGGCACAGTACCAAACGGGACAACTCTTCCGAACACAGGCTGATGACACGAACTACGGGGTCAGTCGCTGTCCTAAACGCTTTACATGGGGTGGGGGTGGGGAGGTGGGAACAGCTTCCAAAAGTTCGTGGCAAAATGGAATTTTCCCCAGGCACTCTCCCTCCGTCCCTGCACACACTCCAGGAGGCTGGCGTTACGGTCCCCACTGAAACGCAGACACGGCATCGGGGGTTAAGTAACTCAGAGCCTAGTGCTTAAACCCTTACTCTCAGGGACACTTACCATCACGCACTGGTGACCAGTTGATGCCAACCTGTGAGACGGGCTGTGCTTGCGTCACTGCGGAGAGCGATTGCATGTAGTTGCTAACATTGAAAAGCAGAGCTGTTTACAGAATTCCCAGAGTGTCGGCTTCTTCAATACAACCTGAAGCCCTGGCATCACAGGCAGCGTGCCTCGCGACTGGAGTGGGCTTTTACAGCCCCTCACCTCCACGGCCCCCCATCCCCATCCCTCCCTGCTTCTTTCCAAGCATGTGATCGTTCCGTTTGCGTGGAGCTTTCTCTTGCAGCATTTCCCGCAAGGCGGGGTGTGTGATCTCCCACAAGCTGCTTTTCCCGAGAGAGAGAGAAGATAGTGAGGGGGTGGTGGCGGTGACGTGTGCGCGCCTGTGCGCACGCGCGCGGTGTGTGGGTGCAAATCCGGCTGAGCGGCGCTGCGTGACGCACGCCAGTGCCCCCTAGCGGAGAAGTTCAGAATGCGAACGGCGTCGCCCCGCAGCCGTAAGGGGCTCGGTGAAAACATCCAATCAGAAGGCCGAGAGGCCTCGGGAGTGACCAATCAGACGTGGGAAAGGGGAGCACGTTCAACTCCTGAGCACAGTAGGCGCCGAGAATTAAAAAAAAAACTCTTTAATAACGTGGACGACAAACACACTCTTTTCAGTTGTGGGGAACGGGTTTGGGGGCTCGGGAAGGGCTGGGGCGCGGGCGGCGGAGCAAGCAGGCGGCGGCGAGGCTGGTGCCCTGGCGCTGGGGCCGCGCG